TGAAGGGAAATATAAATATCTTGGAAAAAGTGAAAGAAGAAGGGAGGATAATATTAAAATGTATCTTAAAGGAGTAGGATTATAGGGTTTGGATTAAATTTGCCTGACTCCGGATATGAACAATTAGCGGACTGTTTGTACACGGTACTGATCTCTCGCCTTCATCAGCTGAACCGTTATCAGTTTATCTCTAAGGACTCTGTTGCATCGAATTGGTTTGTTTGTTTTTGACTGATTTTTTTTTACAAATGAAATAGAAAATGCTCGTAAAGTATTTTCGGAAGTAAAGATTCCGTGCACTGCTATTATTTGTCTACTGTACCCCCAACACAAAGTCAAGACGCAACACAACCATTTAAGAGCGCATTAATTATTAAATGTATCATCGAGTTTAAGGCATAAAATTGTACATTTTGTTTACAGAGTGCAATTATTTGTTTCGTGTGATCTACAGAATATACAATGTTACTTTCCTTACACAGCATTGATCGGTTGGTTTTGGAATGCAGACGCCGTTTTCTTTCTGTGAGGCAGAAACTGAATTATTTATATATTATTTAGACGAAAGTCGTGCTTGAACGAGCTAACCCCAATTCCCAGTTTACTGCTCGGGGGAACACCAGTTCTTAGTATGTGCTTCGGGCGGTTCGTAAAAATATGGTGAGCTGCAATAATCAAGCAGTCCCTCCCCCTGCAGTTAAAACAGGCTCGCTCTCTCTAGTTTATGTCCTTTTATACTTTTGTCCTTTTTTTTATGTGCCGTTCCGTCGCGAAATATTTCTGAGCCAAAATTTCGAGGGAACTTTAACATAAGTGTAGATCACCCGTCTAATTTACGTGTCGGAGATGTTGCCGAACATGCAAGGCGCTACATATACATCTGCTCACATACTGCTAGGCGTCATAGTCTAGATAAAAACCGGGTGCAGACATTTTAGCTTGTTTTTCTTTTTTCACAAAGTAAAATATGGTTACTTGTATGTCCACACTAATAAAGTGTCAACAAATTTACATTTCATTAAACGTCTTACAAATGCGGAACTACTCAACACATCTCTATAATATCTTAATATTACGACCTTCCAGAATGTGACGTCATAATCTCATAGATCGTTAACCAATGTTTCGGAGAAATATGCTGCCTCCATCTTAAGGGTAGAAAAGATACCCTCAGAATTTCTGCTTAAAATTGTGCAATTTTCATCTCTGTATTTCTTGTAAAATTTGAAGTTCTCGTGGAAGTAACCATGAAAAGTTCTATTCTCTCGAATATGACGCCATGTAATCTGGTAAAAGGTTGCGAACATTCCGAAGGAAAGAGCTGCGTCTCTCTTCACCGTCGAAGAGCAGACCTTGAGAGGAATCTGCAAGAAGAGGCTTTGCTTTCTGCTTGTTTGCGCTGCTCGCTAAACGATCCTGAAGCTGGAAGCAGTCTGATACTCCGAAACATATACAACTACCAGATCACACGGTGTTACATTGTAAAGAGAGTAATTTAAATAATTTTTGTTATTTAATAACTTTAATAATATTATGGCAATTTAAGACGGATTGGACGGCCAGGGTTCGGTTACCGGCTGGGAAAATAGATTTTTGTCTACTCCAAAGCGTCCAGACTGACTCTGGGGCCTACCCAACTTCCTATCCATTGGGTATCGGTGGATCGTTCGCTGGGGTAAAGCGGCCGGGTCGTGAATCTATCAACTCACCTCCAATTAATACCGATGTCAAGAATTGTGGGACTATGCCTCCACTCCCCGATAACACCTTCGTGACGTGATGATTAATGAATTAAATACAGCTACAATTTTATCTATAACAGTGCAAATTTTGAAGTCCTCATTATGCACTTTTCTTATTGTTTCTGTTACTGTCAGTGGCAGGCGTTTAGCAGCAATCGTGGGGAAGTACCCGCTAACCTGCGTATTTCACAGTGAACATTGTATAGCTATGAACACAATGCACTTGAGCCGAGCAGATATGAAGGCGCGTGACGCCACCCGTTCAGCACACTTTCCTCCAGTAGCGCCCGTTGCTGCAGCATGTTAATCAGAGCAGGGACTTCCAGGAATATAAAGCGAATACAGTGAGGATTGCGGTCTTCATTTCCGACTGAGCTTCTTATGGCAACACCCTGGTTCTTGCTAATCCTCCTGGAAAATTTTTCCTGCAATTTCCTGCTCCAATATTCGTAGTTGCCTTACCGTAGTTATGCTTGCTAATAAATGTAGGCAGCTCAGGTTCACCAGTAAGGTGTAGCAGTCAACGTTCTTTCTTGTTTAACGCTGAATTACTTATGGAAATTATCAGTCTTTCTATGTTCTCTGTATCTTGTCTGTTTATTTTTCTGACTTTGATCTATCTATCTCTTTAGCGCTCCCAAAAATTTTCAGGAGATGTGCCCCTTAATTTCCGACTAAAATATCATGTACCCCTTGGTATCAGTGAAAAACTTCATGCACCCCTTCGTCCCCGAATAAAACTTAAAGTACCCCTTGGTCTAGAAATCAAACTTCAAGTACCCCTCGACCGTAGAATGAAATTTCAACGTACCTGTTTTCATGGCGATTTAATTTGTATCTCAAGATGTCCAGTCAGTCAGTCATACACGACAAGATACAGAAGTTTTTTTTGTATTAAAAGAACTGTAATCCCTTCCCAGAAAGAAGTTGTGCAAAACAAAGTTCCTAAGACTACTTTCGGGTCATTTCGACTTGTGCGACCACGCATGTACCCATTTGAAGCCTGTCATGCCCGCAGACCAGAACAACTGATATATTTATCTTGAAGCCNATCTTGCAGTCCCCCCACCCCCCATCGTTCTCACCACCCAACCTGTACGTCCTTCGCATCTGCTTAATTATTTTTCTTTAAATTCGCTTAGTGGGGGGTGGAGTCCAACTGGGTCCACTCGGCACGGCGGCCACTGTTTGTCCTATTGTAGCCTGCCCCGGGGGATTATGATGATGGAGAATTTAGTGGGAATTAAGACCAGCAGGGGAAACTGAAGTACTCGGAGAAAACGTGCCCCAGCGCCACTTTGTCCACCACAAATCCCACTTGACCAGACCCGGGATCGAACCCGAGTCGCCGCGGTGGAAAGCCAGCGACTAACCGTTTGAGCTATGGCACGGCCTTATCTGCTTACTCATCATTGTATGTGCCGGTTAGCTTTCTTGTTTCTTATTCGGGAAGTCATGTGTTCGGTTCTCGGCGAGGAAGCCAGCCGTTTTGACTAAGGGTTCTTGTGATTTTCATTAGTTCTACAGGCGAATTCTACGATTTTGCTTGCCTCCCTCCACAGTCTTGCCAATAAATTATTGAGTATCATCGTGACATTATAACATTCCATGGTTTGTAGTAAATGTACTTAGAGGAGCGTCGTTAAATGAACCAAAAATTAATCGATCATCCGAATGGTCTTCTGCCTACCATCTTCCTACGTAATAGATATCATACATCTAGTCAGCCGACATGCAATCCGGATATTCATAGTCCACTTATGCACTCGGCTGAGCATTCTGCCTAACGAGACGGTGACGTGATACTCTGAACATGCAAGTATTTAAAATGTGGGGATTAATCTTTTAAAGACGTTGTCACGTGATTTAGAGTGTGACTATAAAGGGGTTTGGATTATTGATAGGATTTATTGAACACTTACAGAAAGCAACAACAAAAAAAACTACGACAGTCTCACTGAGTTACACACTCCAAAGATAACTATAACCACAGCACACCTGAAGTCTTTTCAGTGTTTCCTAGCCGTTGTTTGGTAGCGGGTTCCAACAACGGACGTTCCNTCACAGCACACCTGAAGTCTTCTCAGAGTTTCCTAGCCGTTGTTTGGTAGCGGGTTCCAACAACGGACGTTCCCCTTCCCCTGGGTTCCCGAACTGTCCCCGGACTCAGCTACCAACTTCTCACAACAGAAACTCACTACGACTGAACTGTAGCATTCCTCTATCTCTTCACTGACTGACTGACTCTATTAAACTCAACTCAATTGACTGACTGACTAACTCTCTGACTCTCCTGTTCATAACATCTCGGCAGGAGACGCACAGAATACACCGTTTCTAATTGTCATATTTCAATTGTTGCACTAGAAAATCTGTGTGCGAAGCCGTTATTCAATAATGACTGTTTTATAGTTGCTTATCTCGCGGTCGTTGCCCAGCAACAGGTCTTCGTTTCACAATATTTTGAAGCGAATAATAATGTGTCATACAGGCTGAAAGCCGGTAGTGCAGACCAAGCAGAAACATTCATTGCTAGAAAATGGCTCGGTAAACACGTTCCCGCGGCAACGGATTCTAACGCAACAACATATTAACTGTTGCAAGCGGTGTTTACTATGCTTTCCGCGCAGATGTTTAATAAGAAGTAATTTTAGCTTGTAAATTGTGGCCCGGGAGCCGAGAATACTAGAACACTTAGTGCACTAGTCAGGTGCGAGACAGTCGCCAGCCAGCAAGGACAGGAGACGTTGAACACGGAAAATGATGAATCTACATTGTTGACGCCGTTACCAGGCGACGACTGGTGAAGACATACCAAGATGAGAAGATTTAGAGCAAATATATTGAATTTGAAAGTGCCTGAATTAGCGATAGCGCTATAATTACTAATGATTAGGATTTATAAGAGGTCAATAAATCCAATTACCAATCCAAACCCCGTGTGTAGACACTAAACACGTGATAATGTGTACGTAACATACAGACGGGTCCTTCTCTTACCGATATTATGTACTTCTCAGCTAAAAGCCCCGACCGCTAAAATATCTAATATTTATGAAACCCTTATCACGTTTACAGCAACATACAGCACGAAGCATATATTTTTCAAGTGCTCCAGTAAGCTGCGCATCTGATCTCAAAGGAATATGCAAGAGCAGATCTGGGGGGATCAGAACTTGTATCCAGCTCTAGGAAGAGACAGAGAAGAAGATCAAAGTAGAATTACTGCAAAGTTTTTCCTTGGTCTTGGCTTCGAATCCCACACAAGGCATGAATGTTTGGTATGTGTATGTGTTTAATCTGTATTTGTGTTGTCCTGTGTTTTAATTTTTTTATTGATAGTGGCGGGGGGGACTAAGTCCCTTGTACTGCGGCCATTTCTGGCCTATTGTACCAGCCCCAGATGATAGGTGAGGGTTATTGTCGAGCAATTGGTGGAATGAAGATCGGCAGGGGAAACCGAAGTACTCGGAGAAAACCTACCTCAGCGCCACTTTGTACACCACAAATCCCACTTGACCAGACCCCGGGATCGAATCCGGGCCGCCGCGGTGGAAAACCAGCGACTAACCGCTTGAGCTATGGCGCAGCCTTGCAACGAAATGATCACTAGTTCAAGGAGTCCTACCGTCTGTAAAATGATAAAAATATCAATCCAAAATGTAGAATGCAAGAAGAGCGGATTAAGTAAATTAAGTAAAGTTTCCTCTGGTCGTAGTGCTTTTGTTTAATAAACCTAAAACATTATAAAATTGTTGTGATTCATTCGGGAGATAATATAACTTGCTTTTATTATTCAGCATTTCCGGCACATGAATTACGCATGCGCACATATATAATTAGTCTAAGCGGTAAAGTGCTTGAAGGTTTGTAGTTTTGATTGAAATCAAATGCAGAAACTGATATCAGTTTTCTAATGATATGACCAGAAAGTGGCAGTAGTGATGACCAATACAATTAGTCTGAACTTTCGGGTTCCGTAAAATATTGGGAACTCCTGAATAGCTGAGCTACTGACAGCTTATCAAGAACTCAGTTCCATGGAATTAATTATCGAACGATTTTACAATATTGATCTGTGACGAGAAGCAATAGATCTAGACTTTTATTGTTATATCTGTTTTGTCAAGCTGTTTTTCCCAGAATATTTCAAATTGACGTTTAATTCCGTACATATTTATTGAATCGTGTTTTGTATGATTCCCCCAAACGTCTCTGATGAATGATAGTGAATCACTGGAATGGTCGATGTATAGACACTGCATCTGTGTATGGAAGTTGTCAAATTTTTTTTTAATTTTAAATTAATGTCAGATTAAGTAGAAGGCAAAGGTGAAGTTGTCTCTATGCTTAACTAATTAAGTACCACTCCGCATTATGGACCTGGGGTAGACTCGGTCCCTAACAGTAAAGAATATCAGGAATCTTCTTGGAGGTAAAGGGCGCCGGCGCGTGAGGCTGACAACCTCACCGCCATCTGAGGGCCGATTGTCTAGAAAATGTGGGAGCCTCAACGTCTCACAACACTATAGGCCTTCACGACCCGTTACAGCGAATGTTAGATTAGTCAATTCATATATTCATATATATTGCGTGATATTTTAAGTTGATAATGAAGGGCTTATGCCGTCTGTTTTCCTTTATTAACACATTTATGTCCATAAAAATATGCATTACTGATAGATTATGAATGCATAAATGCATGAATGCTTTATTGTTATAATTACAGTTTACATTTGGAGGTGTCGCAGTTTAATTCCCCGATCCTTTCTGTCCTCTTTCCGTTCAAATTATAATTCCTATGGTGAAAAACTCGTCTGTTATGCATTGTCATTTAAATTACATTAGGTCGTGTTAAAACCATTGCTAACTGATACTCATCTGAATTTGTTTATTCTCCACTCTCGTGTTTTCTTATCATCTTCTTTCCATTTCTCTTCATATTTATTCGTAAACAATTCAATTTTCTGCCGTCATTCAATATTCTTTCATGCTGTGCTACTCTTAGTCACTATTTCTGCAGCGAAATTCATAAATCTTGTTCAAAATTTCGTCCATCTAAATATCTTTTTTTCAAAACTCAGTAGGTATTTTACTACACAAATTAATTAATTGTCTTTGTTCAGATGCACAAAGAATCACCTCTCATTCCTCGTATTTGTAATACAAAACGTGCAGCTGCACTGTAGTGCAAAATTTCCAATACTGTTTAAATTTCTTTGGGTTTAAATTCTTATATAAATTGTCTCCACTAAATCCAAAATTAATGTGTGTGAGCAGATTATGTATGGTTATTTCTCGTTCTTCATAAGAGTAATGTCAATGAAGGATGTATGAGTCCAACACCCCCCCCCNGTTTAGTCGTTTGCGATTATTTCTGCCTGGTAAGGAAGAAGGTATGGAAATTTCTTAAACTACAGTAAGTCAAAAATATTTAATTTGATAGTTTCCTAATATTCTCACTCCATTTTGCGAGTTCTTATTGAAAAGCTGATCGCTGCTTTTTATAGAACTCGAATGTTAGTTTCCATGTCACAACATAGAGGAGCTGGACTCTATACTAAACGAAACGAATGCAGTTTCCACCCTTTCAAGAGAGTGTTCAACATGAGCTTTCCATCACCATCTAAGTGTTCTAAGTGATCTGTCACGTTCAGGTTTCCTTACAAGAACTATGTATGCATCTGTTGTTGCCGTCGGAGATTATGAGTTATGCTGAGCGGAATGACAGTCTGCGATCCCCCCTGTTGCAGGAGCGGTGATAGAGCACCATGCCCCGTACTGGGAGCAGCCCTTCTCCCAGCCTTACTTCGACAACTCGACCCGCCGTGAGATGACGACCACAGTGGGGCAGAGTGCCTACCTGCATTGCAGGGTCAGGAACCTGGGCGACAGGGCCGTGTCATGGATCCGCAAGAGGGACCTGCACATCCTGACGGTGGGAATTCTCACGTACACTAATGACCAACGCTTCCAGTCCTTGCACTCGGACGGGTCCGACGAGTGGACCCTCAAAGTGAGCTCTCCACAGGTTCGCGATTCCGGAACGTATGAGTGCCAAGTCAGCACAGAGCCCAAGATTAGCCAAGCCTTCCGCCTGAACGTAGTGGGTGAGTTGCTGAAGTGTCTCCACCTCCCTCTCTATCTGTCTGTCTGTCTGTCTATCCAACTATCTATCTATTATTTATCTATCTATTGGTCTGTCTATCTATCTATCTATCTGTCTGTGTCTGTCTATCTGTCTGTCTCTTTGTCTATCTGTCTATCTATCTATCTATCTGTCTATCTGTTTGTCTATCTCTCTATCTATCTGTCTCTCTCTCTATTTGTCTATCTGTCTATATCTATCTATCTGTCTGTTTGTCTATTTGTCTGTCTATTTGTCTGTCTATCCATCTATCTATCTATTATTTACTTATCTATTGGTCTGTCTATCTATCTATCTATCTATCTATCTGTCTGTGTCTGTCTATTTGTCTATCTGTCTATATCTACCTGTCTGTCCGTCTGTTTGTCTATCTGTCTATCTATCTATCTATCTGTCTGTCTGTTTGCCTATCTATCTATCTGTCTCTCTCTCTATTTGTCTATCTGTCTATATGTCTATATCTATCTATCTGTCTGTCTATCAATCTATTATTTATGTATCTATTTGTCTGTCTGTTTGTCTATCTATCTATCTGTGTCTCTGTCTATTTGTCTGTCTATATCTATCTATCTATCTATCTGTCTGTCTGTCTGTCTATCTATATACTGTACCTATTCATCTAACATCTACTTGTCATCCTATCTGCCTATTTATGTATCTGTCTACATGTACTCTCTCTGTAGGATTTTAGGTTCTCACAGCGGTCGTTATGAAGAATTACATCTTCTGGAATTTGTTATGTTATTTTGGCCTAATGCCGGTCACAGTAGCCGAGCGGTCTAAGGCATGTACAGTCTTCGCTCGCTTGGAAACCGGGATCGTGGGTTCGAATCCCACCCAGGGCATGGATGTTTAGTTTGTGTGTGTGCGTTTTTCTGTGTTTGTGTACAGGTAGAGGCCTTGCGACGAGCTGATCACCCGCCCAAGGGGTCCTACCGAAAGTGTAAGTTCTAGAAAACCCGAAATGAACGGAGAAGTTCATGGAGGTAGGCCTAGGCCCACTGGAGCTGTAGTGCCAAGGAAAAAAAGAAATTGTGGCCTAATAAAGTGAGATTTGAAACCCCAGTACTCCAAGTTGCCCAGTCGAACTATCGCAACGAAGAAAGTTGGTAAACAAACACAGCTCGCCAATCGTGTGGCAAGTCTCGCTTGGGAACGCTGAAATAGCAGTTGCGACATGTGTAATAGTTCTTACAGTCTATTGAAGGTATAAATACATGCTGACCCGCAGAAGTCTTCCATTATATAATCTTAGGTCGGTGACTATGGGGAGCGGAAAGGCCGCGCCGTAGCTCAAGCGGTTAGTCGCTGGCTTCCCACCGCGGCGGCCCGGGTTCGAGCCCGGGTCTGGTGAAGTGGGACTTGTGGTGGACAAAGTAGCGCTGCGGCAGGTTCTCTCCGAGTACTTCGGTTTCCCCTGCCAATCTTCATTCCACCAATTGCTTCACATCACCCTCACCTATCATCTGGGGCTGGTAGAATGGTCCAGAACTGTCCCCCGTACAAGAGACTTAGTCCCACCCCACTAGCAATAAAAAAGGGGTAGTGGAATGTCAGACATTTACCAGTTGCTAGGTAGGCTGTGCCCTTTAGCCTACCGATGCCTAAACTTCGCATCGCAGACTGAAACGTCACCAAGAGGGACATGGAACAAGGATTATACCACTCCAGTCGTCACACCCCTCTGCACCCCTAACAAGTATATCCCCGTTGTATTGCTGACGGCCAGAGAGATGCTTTGTAGAGCACGGACTTTAGCTTAGCTCAACCCCAAATGAGTATGTAGATAGTGTAAATAAACATAGGCAACATCTGGTTCCCCAGTGTTACAAGTTTATTCCCTCGAACCTCAGCCACAGGAGAATCGGAAACGCTCGATAGCAATGTGCGTAGCTAAGACCCAACAACCCAGAATCCCCTCATTAAAGGGTCCTCTCTGACCATACCGCCCCTTTAAGCGGGTACTGATTTCCAGGGTGAGTGACGCAACCTGGAGTGCCACGCCAAGGCGTACAGCAAGTCATAGCAGTAAATGGGATAACAGACCACACATTAACAGTGGTCACTGAATAGCAGAATATAGCGCCGTATAGTCTGTTGAAAGTCAACCGATGTTTCGAAGGAACATGTTGCCTATATTTTCAGGATCGAAGAATGTGCCAAACAAGAAACCAGCGTGGATCATTTAGCAAGCTAATGTCACGTGACTTTCAACGGAATACACGGCGTTGTATCTTACAAGATATAACTCTTTTTATCTGTCTGTTTATCTTCATGTCCGTTTGCATGTTTCTCCATCCGTCTATCTGCCGTTCTGTTTTAACGAATTTTCCTTATTTTTGAAAAATAAAAACTCATTAGATTAACTTGTTGTCTGTGTGTCGTGAACAGGTGTGTGTCTATATATACCCACCTATCGTTGCAAGGCAATGGCTCGGTGAAAATGTTACCGCGGCAACGAATACGCGCGCAACAATAGAAGAAATTGTTGGACGCGTCGTTTTCTATGCGAATCGTGACTCATCAAATGAAGGTAGACGATTAGATCTTCCCAGAACTTCTTGTCCGTATATTTGTTTGTCCATATGTGTCTATCGTTAAATCTGTTTGTGTCATTCTTTCGATGTGTCTATCCCCTTTTCTGTCTGTCTATCCTGGCTGTTCGTCTGTCAGTCTGTCTTAACGTCTGAATACAGCTGGACCATTAGTCGATTCTCTTGTTCTCGAAGATTTTCGACGCTGAATGCATCCTCTGTGTGGCTCCTTTTTTAGGAATGAATACGACACGCCTCACTCATCATAGGGGTCGACAGGTCCAGATACGTAACAATTTCACAGCGTTTGTTTTGCTGATGTGCCCAATATAAGATTTTTATTTACATATTGTATTACTGATCTTAGCTAAAAGAGGAAGCAGCGTGAATAATTTACCTCTTTTCTTTAAAAAAACTTGCCAATAATATATTTTGATTTGATATTATTTAGTCGATTACTTAATGACGCCATTATTATCCAGACTAATTTCTTTTTTGTGAACGGAGAAGTTCATGGAGGTAGGCCTGGGCCCACTGGGGCTGTAGTGCCAAGGAAAAAAAAAATATTTTTAATTCGCTTAGTGGGGGGTGGAGTCCAACTGTGTACACTCAGCATGGCGGCCACTGATTGGCCTATTGTAGCCTGTCTCGGGTGATTATGATGATGCAGAATTTGGTGGAATGAAGATTGGCGGGGG